TTATATATATATATATATATATATATATATATGTGTGTGTGTGTGTGTGTGTGTGTGTGTGTGTGTGTGTGTGTGTGTGTGTGTGTGTGTGATATATATATATATATATATGTGTGTGTGTGTGTGTGTGTGCTGTTGAATCCATTGCTTGTATAGTGAAATGTAACCAAATTATGCAGGCATATGCAGCTGCTAAATTTGCAGATGCTTGTTTGCGGGGATTACGAGGTGATGCAGGAGTAGTCGAATGCTCATTTGTGGCTTCCCAGGTCTCCTCCCCTGCCCAACTTTGTGTTTGTTCTCCTTCCATTTTCTATGCTACAACAGTACAACCATGATCTTAATCCTTATGTCCTTTTACTGCTTTTTATATAGGTGACAGAACTGCCCTTTTTTGCATCTAAAGTGCGGTTAGGTCGTTGTGGAGTTGAGGAGGTTCTTCCCCTTGGACCTTTGAATGAGTTTGAAAGGTCTGTGTCTTGGTTTCATCATTTTCATTTCACCATGTCAACAGTATCTGATTTATTGTCACTTGTGATTACTGTTTAAAAACCAATTATCACATTTTGTGGTCTCAATTTGTTAACATTTAGTTTTCTTTGAAGCTCTATTTATAAATTTTCCTTCAATTAGGGGTTTGCTATCTTGTGAGTGGTCCATTGGACTTGTGAGATCTTTACTTCAGGCTACATACAACAACTTAGTTGGAGAGCTGCACCTATCTTATCTCTATGTATATTAGGGAGAGCTGCACCTACACAGTTGTAGATGTTTCAAAGTGGCTTTTCTTGCAGATATGACGTGCACCTCATGGAAATGCCTATGATTGACATTTCCTATTGTCTGCACTTGAACCATACTAGCCTTGTTGACTAGACATCCTTGTTATGACAGGGCTGGCTTGGAGAAGGCAAAGAAAGAGTTGGCAGTAAGCATTCAAAAGGGTGTCTCATTCATTCACAAGTGATGGAAGTGGAGTGCCCAACTCCTGAGCAGATTGAGCTCATATGTAAGACTTAGATCCTATGGTTGAAGAAATAACTGTGCTGATATTTGTAATGCGGTTACAGATTTGGTAGCCTGATAAACAATAATCACAATAATTTCTCTTGAAGAAGCCTTCTACCGTTCAAATGTACGTTGAGAAAGAAAAAAGAAACTCTTTATCTTGAATTATGTCATGGGGCAATAAGGGAATTCTCTGTGTATAGAGATTGTTTTGAGATTTTGTTTGTTGCACAGGATTTGAAATTCTGTATGCAATAGATTAGAAATAAATTACAAGAACTTTCTGCAATATTACATTAGCTGTTGATCAAGGTCTTACATTTGCTTAAATTCGGTTATAATGAAAATATATTTTTGAGGTCTTTGTTTGCAAGAAGTTTTTCCAGCAACCAATTTGATATCAAGTGTATCTTTGTAGTGCAACCTTTTTTTTATGATAAGATAGTTAGGATGCTCAAGGGATTAGAAGTCAAGGAGATACAATGCCTGTTTTCACCACAGGTCTCAGTTTGAAGCTTCAAGGACATTAGGGAGACAAAAACCCCTTAGTTTCCGTTCTCATCGAGGTCTTCATTCATGGTGTGGGTTTGGCCTGAGTAGCTTTGGTGAGGTTTTTCACGGCATCCTTTAGGCGTTGTCAGGACTTGCCTGGAACTATTGCCAGAACTTTCCATGAAAAAGCTCAGAAATTTATTTAGGGTAAGAAGCTAAGTAACCTGATGCGGTATAAGTGTAAGATGTTGGGAAAGCCTGGAACCTATTTCTTGTTGAGTTTGCTAGTGATTAAAGTCAGTGAAAGGTGAGACAAAGAGCCAACACAAAAATGCATTTTTCAGATCGATGCTGTTGGATGAACTAGAGCCTCTTGATTAGAAACAAAAACACACTACAGGAGAAATTTTGTTATCTACAGTTACTACAACCAACATGTGTGATCTTATAAATGTTCCTTTCGAACTGATTATGTAAATGACATATGGGAAGTGTAGAATTAGCTGGTTTCTCATGCTGCCTTTGCAGTTCATTCCCCCAGACTTTACCTTGGAGGTACATCACCTTGGAGGTACATTGAGATTTTCAGTGACTGCACTATTCATCTCTTTCACATCCAGTTGATTTGGTAGGACTGTGTAATATGTATAGACTTAGCAGTATCAACTGACAATTTTCTTCTGTAGCATCAAAAGAGCGATAGAGACATGAAATATTGGCTGACATGGTATTTTGTTTCTTGATATCTCAGATGTAACTTTAGTGTATTTGTAGTATTTTTTCTTGGTACATACTACACTGATTGGGATTGAGTGGCCATCAGTACTGAGTCTGAGTCTTTTTATGTTTTTGGATATGTGCAAAACAGTAATCTGCTATTTGTTTGGGCCATTGGTGTTGTATAACTCAAATAGTAATACTACACTGCTAGCTTGTTTTTTAGTTCTTCTAATCTTGCCATGTTTTTATTGCTTTCAATGCCTGCCAACCCAAACCTAGCAGTGTCCTCAATGTAGGTGGCTTTGTACAGAGCTTGATCCTGGCCTCCTGAGACTGTTGATAGTTCCCTCAAGGCTACTCTCAACTTTTGGAGCATGCAACCTCAGGTAAGACTACTCAGGAATTATGGCATAGGAACAGTGTCAGGCATCCAAGTATTATGTTAGAGAGACAGATATCTGGGCACTTCACATGCATTCACCTATTGTCATCCACATCATTTCATTCTGGCATGGGTCCTGAGGGTCTGAGGAAGACCCCATCATCATCAATTATGGCACCCGGAAAAGATGCAGACTATTTGAGTTTGTTGAATGGTAGTTCATCATTAATTTCCACTATCAACTGATGAGTAGTTTCAGACTGCATGTCTCTTTGCCGTCACATAATTATGTGCTGTGTGTTGTGTTGATGGTGTTTCAAGTCCTGAACAAAGGTTTTGAGAGTGATGAAAGTAAACTATGTGCTGTTTCCCAGCATCAATGTTCATCATTTGGGTGGGTGCCTGGAAAATGTTCTACTACACTTCAAATTGGTTTCATGGTTGTTCACCTAGTGTTACTGGTGTTGCAAGTTCATCAATGAAGGCTTCATGGAGTGGCAAACAAGATCAAGTCAGCCCAATGGTAGCTCATCATTTACTCCAAGTATGAACTTAGTCCAGGCACAAAATGATGGATGGTGTGAATGGTGTTGCAAGTCCTGAAGAAAGGCTTCGAGAGTGTTGAAGTGCTAACCTTGTACCATTTTCCTTCATCAATGGCAACTGACAAAGCAGGTGGTGTGCCTCATCATGACAAAGCTTCAGAAGCAATTAGTACAAAGTCCATTCTAGCTTTCATGAAGCAACAAGTTTTGTATGTGATTCTGTCTCATCAACGCCTTTTGTCTTTTGCTTCGTGCCATCAAATAAAACAAGACAATCATGCAGAGAAGGGAGGGAGTGGGGTTTCTAGACCATGAATTGCTTGCAAGCAAAGACCTAGCAATGGTAGTTCCTCTAGGGAATCCATGATTTCTTGTCATCATGTCTTGAAGACAAATTCCCTCTATAGTTATCTGTGTGGCAAATTTTACACGATGGGTATTAGTCATAACATCTCTCTAACGACATTAATTTTTCAAACAAAAAGATAATAAAAATTAAAAAGATAACTTTAATATTTTAATTGTTAATAACGAATGACGTTAGTGGTGATGGATGGTGGCACACTGAAGGCCACGAGTGGTTATTGTGGATGAAAAGAACGACAGCAAGAGATGAGGGTTGCTTTGTATTTGGATTGATGCCAACATAGATGCAAATGTCGAACGTCTCATTTTATCACTCTATAGTTGTCAAGCGACAAAATGATCACTTGGCATCTATGTCAGTGTTGATGTAAATGTCAAGTAATCTTTTCGTCAATCAGTAATTGTGTTGATGCCGACATGGATACACAATGACGAATGTACCACTCAGCAACTACATTAGTGTTATGTAGATGCAGAGCAACGAAAAGGCCATTCGACAACTACATCATCGTCGACGTAGATGCAAAGCAACCATCATCTATTGTCGTCGTTCTTCTCATCCACAATAGTCACATGCAACTTCAGCGACAGCACTATCCATCACAACTAGAATATTAAAATTATTTTTTTATTTTTATATATTTATTGATAAAACTAATGACGTTAGGATAAATGAATTTAGATATTTCACTTTTATGACTATAAGAATATAAATATAATTTTTTAAAATATAAAATTTAAATTATAAAAAATAATTAATTATAGATATAATTTATAATTAATCTAATTATTCTTGTACTCGCGAAGTATTCCACCTGCATAATATCATTTCTCGAGCGAGTCCATGATTTCTTGTCATCTTGCCCAGGACAAATTCATTCGATGCTGACCACGTGCAACGCACATGCATCTCGGCCGTCCGTCGACGCTTTTTTTGCCACGTGCAGCTCCCCAAATCATCTCATATGTGACGTGTACGCACCCACGGGGGACCCCCGGTTTGACCCCCTCGTTTCATAGCCACCAGAAATAAAAAGGAGGATTGGGGCTCACGGCGGTCGTCGGCGGAGTATCATTCTCCGGTGATCCAGTGGACAGGTAATGAGTAGGTTTTGGCTTTTGGTAATCGATACGGTCTTCCAAGAGATCCTCCCACGCGTCGGATCGACCTGAGGAGGTGGCAATTTAATGCTGGCCGTCAGATGTCGGCGTCTCCATGCAGATGCTGCCGCGCGGGTGGGTCCCGTTTCCCATTTAAGATCGTAGATTGAAAGCGGGCGGGGAGGGGGACACGCTGCGGGTCTTCCGATCGAGAATTGACGGTGATCGACAGGGAGAGCCCACCACGTGGCTCAAGGTGGAAGGTGCCGGGTGAAAGTGGGGTAGGACCCCCCCGAGATATATTTCCTTCATGGGATCAGCGGCCGCCGTTGTCTCTTAAATCCCATTGAGATATTTTTCCTCTAAATTCTCGAAAATACATAGCAAAAATTATGTCTTTTAGAAGATGAATAGCTCGGAATTTATAGTGTGGAACTCAGTATAAATTCATATAGTTCTAAGCATTTTTCCCACCACATGCCACAGGTTTTTAAGATGGTACAAACATACTGGGAAAAACTTGGAAGAAATGGCAGGCACCCAAGTTAGAACATCCGAGTGCACAATTGCAATACTGCTAAAAACATAAGAGAGAGAGAGAGAGAGAGAGAGAGAGAGAGAGAGAGAGAGAGATGATCAGAATACTCTTTGGTTTCCAGCCCCCAACCATCTCCAATGTGAAGTCCACAGCACAGTCACATGCATTGCCTAGATGATTGTGTAGCTACTAAATAGTTTCTTTCGGTCAGTCTCACCTCGAAAAGGTCAACCTACAAAGGTTTTGATAGTGGAATCAAAGAAGAGGAAACTGAATGGAACTCTTCTTTCTCCTGCTGATGAAGACTTGCAGAGAAACAGGTTTTGATAATGTTGACTGCACTCAACATTAGTCAGTCACTGACAAAGAACTACTACTGCTCACTCTTGCATGGCAGATGGGAGGAAGCAGACAGCAGCAGCAGTGCTCTGCAAGGAACTGCAGCTGCAAATCATGGTCTGAAGTCTTGCAGCAACCTCAAAACTATCATGTATTATTATTCTGTGTGTGTGTGGGTGGGGGGTGTGATCTGCAAGGAGGAAGCATCCACTCACAACAACCATTTTAATTGAATGCTGCCAAATTTTAGGCCAGTTTTAGTGGAACTATGGACTCATTCAAATGCTTTACATTCTATGGAGTAGGGTCTAATCGAGGGAGGAAAATGATTGGGACCATTTCTTTCAGAACTGTTCAGAAGCTTAGGTATCCAATAAATCTTCCTCAAAATAATGATATCCAGTTACATAAGTATATGTATCCTCAGCTTAGATCTCTAAAAATATCCTCCCAAATACTGGCCAATTTGATATTTCATGTTGTCCCCCTTGCATCATCACTCTTACATGAATCAGCAGAGCTCAAGGAGGTAGATCTTGTTTCTGCTTGCATGAGCTTTTCAGTATGGAACTCTTCTCGCACAAACCTTTTCAGTGCCTTCTTTATTATTTCTGTTTGACTCCCTTTGTCTGCTTATTATATCGATGTTGAAATGGTGCCTTATCACAAAAAGAACAATGACACATTTGTTGTTAGAGCTTGGACTTACCTTAGCAGGCATTACTTGGTCAATAATGTTCATTGTTTCCATGCTATTGTAGGCCTCCATGACATGTCGATATCATGGTGAGCATATAGATGCT